CATAATAAATCGAGTAAGATACCTGTGTTGACTTTTTTATGTATGTATGTGGTTGTTTATGTATTATGTGGTTGTTTTTGTATTATATCCGCCAATTATGGACCGTGTCATCCATCACGCATCAAACTAAATTGCGCTAGAGCTTTAACTAGATGTAGCCACATGTAAAATTAGATCGCGCTATCAAAAAACCCATTTTCATTATTCAGGAATTTGAATAAGCCATTATTTTCAAATATCCGGCTTCGACATTAGCGCGGTCAAGCATTACAGCCAGCTTATGATGGACTTGATCTTCAATTCAGCTTGTCCATCAAGAGCTGGCTACTATGCTGATGGAGTTGTGATGGCCTGGTCCTGCGCTACGTTGCGCTCTTGGCCATCATGATTGAGGCTGCAAGCTATGTCATCAAATACAGACCTCCTCAGTAATGTACTATTATTTTCAGGTATATAATCGTAAAGACTTCAAATCGAATACCTTGGAAAGAGCCGCTATCTTACTTCGAGAAGTAGAAGATACACATTAGAAAACCTGCGTGACATGAAGAAGCATGGTTTCGGACTGACAAGGCAAGAATTATTACAGACAGTGGGCCAGTATGTGTCGGATAATGACATTAAAAATCCATTTAAAAATGGCGAGCCCGGCAAAGTTGGTTTCTTATCTTATCAACTAAGATGCCACAGATGGTGGAATACGCGAGAAAACAGGCATGTAGCCCATATATATCATATATCCCTACTTTGATTTACTGGAACAGACACTAACGGAACTGAAATTACTAAACAGACAATCTCACATATGGAATGTCGACGAAACAAGCTTTTCAAAAGTCAAGTTGGAATTATAGGATTTACTTCGACGAGAACAATCGCTTCTCCTGGAAAGGACAATACCACCATCCTATTAGGCTGTAACGCTCTTGGAGTATAAACTCCATCGGTAATAATAGTGTTCAAGGGGAAAAATGTGTGGGACGAATGGACAACAGACAACGGGTATCCTGGGACAGCATACGCTGCAACCAGTAATGGCTGGATGGAGCGGAGCGGTTTTCGAAAATTTTTCGAAAAAGTTTTTTAAAAACAATAGGACCAAAACGTCCCATCATCCTTTTGATATACGACGGGCACCAAATACATGTTGGTATAAACGTCCCATCCTTTTGATATACGACGGGCACCAAACACATGTTGGTATAAACCGCTAGAGAAGCTGATATTACAATTTTAAAAATACCTCTGCACACCAGCCATCTTTTACAACCACTAGGTTTGGCTGTAAATAAATCTTTAAAAGATCGATGGGACGTTGCCCTTGTAAAGTGGCAGAGGTTGAACATTGGGAAGGCACTGCCAAAATAAGAGTTTTCAAAAATGCTTGGGCAAATTTGGGGTGCATTGGACCCGGCTATATGTGCAGCTGGTTTTAGAAAAGCAGGGATTTAACCCCTTAATAATGCTACCTCAGAAGATAAGCTCAACCACGTTCTGTGAGAATGGAAACATAAATCAACATGCGATGCTACGAATATTATCGAAGACCCAACTAAGCAACCACTTAATGATGTGCCGCTGTGTACTAAGCAGCCCAAATACAACCCGGAGTCGTTGCTAGCTTTCTCTTTAAAAACCATCGACTTGACTCTAAATATTCGTATACATTTTCGGATTTCCCACAAAATTCGACAGAAGAATATAGCGGTGATCGCAACTCTTTAAACCAGCTCAGTTATGTTAAAAAGTTATGTTACTAAATTCCAAAGGAGACAATTTCTTTTTGTATTTAGAATGGGCCCACCAGCCCAAAGTAACTTAATGAAACACATGTTGATTTATTCCTTATAACCAATAAAAAAATATGAATATCACTGTTCGCGCCCAAACGCTGGTTTCAAGATTTGACGCCGGAGGGCGCTCGGCACGATGCGGCACGTTCATAACCGGTTAGACGAGTGGGCGGTTGGCGGGAGTTAGTTGCTACCGGCGGCCGGGTCGAGTCAAACAGTAGCTCGCTGGCAGCGGTACGGTTAATCCGCGTATCTCGGTTATCGCTGCAGAAGTTTCGCGCGACCGGTGTACGGTCTAGATTGCTAGATTTAGTGCGTGTTACATCGTTACGTAATTGGGGTTTTGTGAAAACCGCCTCGGTTTAGGTTGTCTAGGTCTTAAGTTCTTGACAAGAGGCTTGTATTGTGTTTGACTGATTAAAGTAACTTCTTTGAAACGAACGAAGGAACTTAGTTGTGTTTGTAACGCTGAACCGTGTGACTCATGAAGAGATCGCGTTAGTTCCCTATTTGTAATTTGGTGATAAATGAATCCGGGACATTGAATGTTGAACTTTGAACTACTGTCCGTTAGTGTGTCGGGTATCACGTGTTCGATTCTACGATGAACGTTGAATTGGTCAAGTGGAACTTAGTTAAATGTACAATAAAGTTAATAGACTGAAATATTGACAATGAAGAAAGAAACTATCCATGGTGGACGCCTGCTGGAGTGAAGCAGCATTGTGGGGCAGCATGGGAACCGTCGCGCTGCCAGGTCACCTCAGCTGGACCAGGTCATCCTCATATACACACCACTAAACACCACTTTACATGCATTTACTCTACCTACGGCCTGACCGAGCCTTGGGGCGGTCTAAGATTCGGATGCAGGTACGTACCATTTATTTTCCTAGCCCTCTCCTCATTTTGTAGTATGATAGGTCATTTTCCATAAGGCCATTTGGGCCCGTACCCACGCCTGCCCGTCGAAGAGGCTACTATGGGCCTTAGCCAAGTCGACCTTTGCAGGGGCAGCTGTGGGCCGTAAAAATCACAATAGCCTAAAAACAAAATTGATTGATTGATGAGGAAGAAGGCTTTTTCAATTCTGTCACTCGGCCTAAAGAAAATCCTAAGAGCCACAAATCTTTAAAGAGTACAGCTCAAAATCTCGTCAAAATGTGGCTAGATATGAAATGAAAAGACTCGTTTAACGATTTTTTTTATAGAATTAGGGTGACCAACGAGCACACAGTCCACCTGATGGTAAGTGGTTGCTGTGGCCCATAGACATCTGCATCTATTTTCGTTTGCGAATTAAAATGCAGATGCGTTGTCAGCCGTGAGGACTAAGATAGAATGCCTCTTTTCCAGTTAAAAGGGTCTCCGGTTCTCTACACTCACGATACGAAACACAGCAGCGTTCAGCTGCTATTTTACGCTGTTATTCTGTGAGAGCGTGGTCCTTCTCCGGTTGAGCCGACCCATTCGTGCTACAACCTGAATCATGTAAAGCTTTGACCTACGTTAATTATACATAGAAACATCCAGACTCCGTCCAAATTATTTATAGACCATAAAAATGCTCGGAGAGCCGCAAACGGTCAACAGCCGCCGTATTACATGATGCTCTTTCAATATTAATATAGCTGCAGCATGGCTCTACCACGTAAATAAACCACAAAAATAACGATGCGGCATTACTCGGAGAACAGATATTCATATTTTTTTTTATTAAGTATAATACTGCTATACCCTTAAGCGCTACAGTTGAACGTCTTTTTTCTATGGGCAAAGATATTTTAACGCCAAAGCGAGCCTCGCTTTCAAACGAGAACTTCAACATATTAATGTTCATGAAGAGCAATATCCACATTATGCCAGATGATTAAATTACACACTCCAATTATACGCGTCTTTTTTTTTTGTTCCTAACCTTAACTTCCAGAACCAGAAATAAGTAGATCATTAGCGCAACGATTTAAAAAATGCAATTTTAATCACGTGTTAATGGATTAACGATTAAAGTTAACTTGCGTTAAATCTTCCGAAATGTAACTTTAACGTTTAACGAAGTTAACTTTTTTAGGTACGGATTAGCGATTAACGACATTAATTATTTATTTAACGGTGCGAAGCTATGGACCACGCAATAAAAGAAGAAAAAAGGTTTCATGGTTACGACGCTGTTCTTGGTGATATATGATGGAACGTTTCATAGTTAACACAAACGACACATCAGACGAGAGTGAAAATGAAGACGAGAAAGATAATGAAAATTTTGAAGATGCAATGTCCGGTGTCGAAGAATTGTTATAATATTTTTTATACTTGAATTTCATTTATTGATCTCTGACTTTTCAGTCACACTTACATACGTACACATACTCTTTTTTTGTCTGACTCTACTTTTGGTGGTCAATCACACAAATGCAAGCTCAGCTTATGCCTCGCGGACTGTATCAACCTAAATATGGCCCACAGCTGGGTAAAGGCGTTAATTTCTAAAAAAAGTTAAGCAACTAGAGACTTCGCAAGTCATCGAAATATTTTAAATGTTTGTATGCAGTTGCTCAATTTAGATGAGTAGAATCGATTTCAAATATTTTTAAATTACTATCACAACTATGTCAGCACTTTACTAGGCGATAGGACACTTCTTCTTAAAGAGTTCTAGGACATCTAGGACTACCTAGGAGGACAGATACCACCCCCTTTATCTATATCTGACATTGCTATATTCTGTCTGAAGGGCTACATATGGACACCTGCAACAAGGGTTGCCAGCTCCCGTTTCATGTTTTAGATATATAATGAAAATATTTTTCGATAAAATATTATGCGCTAATTTATCTGTCTAAGATCGCGTGTTAACTTAAAGTGGTTTTTAACTTAATTTACCTCAGCTAGCAAGGGAATGTCGTATACACACAATATTACCTTGTCCTCTATTAAAGACTTTAAATTAGGGAAAATGATCAATTTTTAAAATATAGAACGTCTGGCAACCCTTCCTGCAATCAACTTCAGAAAAAGAAAGCCACAGATGCGTTGTCACCTTCAAAAACCAAGATGAGGTACCTCATTAGTCCGTAACTATGCTGGTGTCTTAGTATTCAAATCGGAATTCAACTGTGGTTGCACTACCACTTAGTAAAAGATACCTTTATAATAATGCTTAAGATATTACTAATGATCAATTCTATATTATTATCACAGAAAAACTTAGGTATACATGACGTCAGACTTAATAACTTCAGAGTTGATAATGTTGCCATGTTCGTCCACGTCGCACATGGTTATTTCCACAGAATTGTCATCTTTCTCCTCCTTCTGCTCAATTTTGACATTCTCTACATCATTACTCTTCATTGTGATCATAAAATGTGTGGGCGTGGATTCCGTCGGCTCGGCTATTTGCTTTACATCGAACTCGAAGGTGTTTGTAAGCGTGTTCTTCGGTCCGCTGTAACCGTCGACGATCTTTTTGGAAACCTCCAGGTCCTCGATTCTGGTGGTTGTGAGTCTGTACATACCATCTTCACTTATCTGATATCTGTAAAATTAATATCAAATTTACGCCATATCATTCTCAGTTAAGGAGAGGACGCATATACACCGAAGCCTAAATCACGCCATCGAAATTTCCAAACGACTCTGCATAAGCTTTGTACTTTCCTCTTTACAAAATAATCTTGTATGGGAAAGTTAGTACATGGTAGAGCTACGCTGCAGCTATATTATATCTGTAGCACGAATTGGTCGGCTCGCCCGGGGCAGGACCACGCTCTTACAGGAAACCAGCTTAAAATAGACCCTTTTTACGGGAAACGAAGCACTCCATCTTAGTCCTCAGGGGTGAGAACGCATCTGCATTTTGATTCTTAATCGAGGGTAAATGTCTATGGGCCACAGCATACACTTACCATACCATCTGTTGGACTGTATGCTTGTTTGTCAAGCTTATTCTATAAAGAAAACCTGAATAATGTAAAGCTTTGACCTACGTTAATTATACATACAAACATCCAGACTCCGTCCAAATTATTTGTAGACCATAAAAATGCTCGGAGAGCCGCAAACGGTCAACAGCCGTCGTATTACATGATGCTCTTCCAATTTGAGCCCTACACATGAAAATGACACAAACACTACTATAATAACAGATTCCCCCTTCTCCTCAATACCGCGTACTCACCATACACGTACCGCACATGCAAGTGCGTGCCTGGATTTTATCGGAACGATCTAATTTCAAATAAAATATTATCTGTCCATACGCAGATACAATTTAAATAACGATTTTGAGAAAGAACAAACGATATTCAAGGTTTTTTAGCTCTAACTTAGAATGTCTAGTCTTACCTAAACCGACTGTATCCAAAAGGCCACTGGGCGCCATGGACTTTGACGAGATGCGTGGTCAACCGTGTACCTCTTGAAAATATCTTCATTTCCTTCTCCGGGCACATGTGGCACGCATACTTCCTCGAAATCTTTGGCTTCTTTACCACTTCCTCGTCTGAATTCTCCTCTGATAATTCTCTATCGCTGACACCTTCCTCATTTTTAATTTCCATCTTTCTCAGTTTTTTCTTTTTGCGGGTGTGCGTTAGAATGTGTTTACGTAAATCACATTTTGTTACTGCTCTGTAAAAGAGAATTATTTTAGCGGGACTAGCAATTTGAAAATTATTTGTTAATATTTGGCTAATAGGAGATGCCTGGGTTTTGCAAAATCAGAATATTTATTGCCAATAAGCTGTATATGTACAATTTGCGGTTGATATTGCAATTAAATGTTACAGTTTACACATATCGGACATGCAATAATTAAGAAATAAAAACTTTTTGGATTATATGAAGGTAACGCCACCGAATATAATACTTCAGTACTGTCCTGGATTGAGACCTGACTAGACTTTTTTTTTATAGTATTGGGTGACAAACGAGCACACAGTCCACCTGATGGTAAGTGGTTACTGTGACCCATAGACATCTACATCTATCCTCAATAAAGACTCAAGATGCAGATGCGTTGTCACCCGTGAGGACTAAGATAGAATGCCTCTTTGCCAGTAAAAAGGGTCTCCGGTTCTCTACACTCACCATACGAAACACAGCAGCGTTAAGCTGCTATTTTACGCTGGTTAAACTGAGACTGAGTATTCGACTAAGTAAATCTAATTCTATTTCGTTTCGTTGTTAAAATTTTAATTTTATTCTACCTACAGGTAGGCATAGGCCTAGAAAGCACAGTCATTCAGTGTGTTATAGAGTGAGCACCGTTTACAAAATAAATACTGACGCTAATAATCGCAATAGAACAATAATGATTAACGACACAATAAATCAAAAATGACAGTCGAAAGAATGCAGCGCCACAGCCAATCAAATAGATTTATTCTAGCATAATTCATAGCCCTCCTGTAACTATACCGACTTTCTTACCCCTCATATACACAGCAGTAGGTGCACTGTTGTTTAGTGGCAGTCTTACTAATTCTTCATTTTTTCAACAGTTCGTTGCAATGCAGTGCAAATTTTAACAGTTCGTTGCAGTGAAAATTTTAGAGCACCTAATTTTTAAACTTGGCACCTAATTAGCACAATTTGATCAAGGTCTGACCAGTAGTTTCTAAGTTATCCTTAATAATTTAGATTTAATAAATTACCACTTGTGTAATAACCACTTTTGTATGTCAGCCTTACTGTGGTTTGAGTTAGGACACCTTTTTACGCAAATACTATGGTATGGCGCATTATCTATCACAATGAGCGAAGGTTCATATAGATTAGGTAGTAATTTTTCATAAACCCATATTTTGAAATTAGTGCTATTCATTTCATTATGGTAGTCCCGTAGTCCCCATTTTTCGTATTTGATTTAAATACGAGAAGGGCATTCTCCACCTGCATGGATTATGATCCACCTATTACCTTTCGAAACAGGTTCCAAATCGCCATCGTCTTCAGGACCTTGAAAACATTTCTCAATTGTGCGAGACGAGTGTATGTAAGTTTCATCTAAATAAAATAGGTATTTTTTCAACACACTCTTAAATATATTGTAAACGACAAATAATTAATGTCTAGTTATAATTAAATAAACATGAGTAAATATGCCGTCAATAAAGCTAGTTATAGTAGTATTTTCGCTGGAGACATAAATATAAATATTATTGGGTCCGCAGGTGACAAAAATTTGCACACGGAGTACTTAGATGTATTAGCAGAGTATGGGCTTTCCCCCGCCATAACCAAACCAACTCGGGTCAAAACCTGCATAGATCACATTTTTGTACCCGTAAGATCTAATGCGGAGTCCGTAGTGTATCTCAATGATGTTACTGACCATGATATCACTATGGCAGGCATAATTTTAAAGACACAAAAACCAAAAAGACCAAAACCTAATCGATCAAGAGTTATAGTTGACATAGACTCAATAAGATCAGAGCTGGAGGGAACGAACTGGTCCCCAGTAATGAACTGTGGCTCTCTTGACGAGTCTGTGAGTCATTTCACTAAGACGGTATCAGAGACAATATTGAGGTACTCGAAAACTTGTGTAATAAGCCGCTCTAGAACCATCTTACACCCTTGGATGACTCCTGGTCTAATCAGATGCTCTAAGCACCGTGACAAGCTTCATATTGAATATCGTAAGGACCCAAATAACCTTACTAAAAAACTTGTATATACACGTTATAGAAATTTTTACATAGATCTAATCAGAAAACTAAAATGTGATTACAACAATAAAGAAATAAATAAAAATAAATGTGCTCCAAAAAAACTCTGGGGTACTATTAACCGCATAACTGGCAAAGGCACTAGTTCAAGTTCTCCTCTGGCTCTCATCAACTCCAGACCCTCTGTAAAGGAATCTCTTGATGTTTGCAACTCTTACTTTGCCTCTGTAGGTAATAAGCTAGCATACTCTATCATGAAGAAATTAAATGAGAATCAGGAGTCCCTTGCCGGAAAAGTTCACATTCCTGTTCAACCCGTTGGTTCATTTTTCATGGATCCTACAGACGAACAGGAAGTTTTGAGTCTCATCCGGTCTCTTGATTCTGGCAGTGCCCCGGGTATGGACGGCATCACTAACAAACTTTTAAAATCAGTAGCCCACGCAATTGCGGAGCCCTTGGCTGCGATATTTAACTTAAGTATCTCGTCAGGAGTCTTTCCAAGCCAGTGGAAAGTAGCGGCAGTTATCCCCATACACAAGAATGGAGCTAAGGACGACCCTTGTAATTATCGTCCCATATCACTGCTGGGTAGTTACTCTAAGCTCCTGGAACGCGTTGTTCATAAGCGGCTGACTAACTATCTTGAAAAGAATAGTATACTCTCGGACCGTCAGTTTGGTTTCCGTCAGGGAAAATCGACTGAGGATGCAGTTAGTCTTATCACAGATATGGTTGTAACTCATCTCGATCAGGGTCGATCCTGTGTCGGTGTTTTTCTCGATCTGGCTAAAGCATTCGACACGGTATCGATTCCCATCCTGCTTAAGAAACTAAGTGCTCTTGGTATTCGTGGTCTAGCTTTAAACTGGTTTTCCAGCTATTTGTCGGATAGAAAGCAATGTGTCCGAATAGGCGATCAAGCAAGCGATCTTAGATCTGTAGATTTTGGCATTCCTCAGGGTAGCATTTTGGGGCCGACACTTTTTATTTCATACATTAATGACATTATGTCAATTGAACTCGAAAATAGTGAAGTTGTATGTTATGCTGACGATACAGCCATAATATTTTATGGTAAATCTTGGCACGACGCCTACCTTTCGGCTGTCTCCGGGTTGCATAAATTACAAACATGGTTAAATTACAACATCTTAACATTGAACACCTCAAAAACGCAGTTAATTTGTTTTCATAAAACTGCAGCGTCTGAACCGCCGCCGTCACTTTTCAATAGCCTTAAAGTACATAATAACAACTGTAGTTTTGGCTCCAAGAGCTCTCCTAATTGTAACTGTGACCAGATAAATAGGGTCGGCTCCCTTAAATATTTGGGCATCATAATAGATGAGAACCTTAACTTCAAAAGTCATATATCAGTGACATCAGCAAGGATCCGTAAGCTGATACACACAATGAGACTATTGAGAGATTCTACTGATGGCAGCATTTTAAAGTCAGTCTACCTTGCACTATGTCAGTCCGTACTTAGCTATTGCATACTGGCGTGGGGTGGCATAGCCTCCTCTACGTTGCTAGTGCTGGAAAGGGCCCAGAGGGCAGTTTTGAAGATAGCTATGGGTAAACCAAGGCGTTATCATACGTCAGATCTCTTTAGAGAAGCCCAAGTTTTAAGTGTCCGTAGATTGTATCTTCTGAGGGTGTTTACATTTATGCACAGGGAAGCTTCGAAACTGTCGACATTTGATACTTTAATAAATAAAAGAGTATTTAAGATCCCCACAACCTTGGTTAAAACATCTTTCGCTCATCATTTCAGACTGTTCCTATTCCCACGCATCTATAACAAATTAGTCAATTTATACGGCTTAAAGCGATCCCAACATTACGTGGCTAAAACAAAAATGATGAACTATTTATTGACTTGGGACTATGAGGAAACAGAAGAAATATTGGTGACTCTTAAATAGGTGTTAAAACGATAGTGGACAGCAATGACGCCAGCCCTGCCATCTGATCCCAATATCCACACACACACACACACACTCATACACACACTCACACTCATACACACACACACATACACACTCACCCTCAATTACACGCGCGCTCCTTTAAATTAGAATATGCTTGTTATGTCTTTAATTTTTCATAATTTTAAGTCGTATTTGTTTTTCCTTTGCTACGCACAATTGTTTTACGTAATTTCGACAAATAGCCACTTTGTTCTATTGTAAAATCTTTTGTTTGACCCCCACGAGACAGGCCATGCCTAGTGTGGGAGTCACAGAACTTTTTTGTATTTTGGCTAAGTGTTTCTGGTAAATAAATAAATTTATTATTATTATTATTATAGTTCAAAGACCACAAACTACAAAGCTAGGTATTTTAGATAAATTACAGTAAATTGAGATAATTTTCTTACTATATTTCACGAGTACATTATTTGGTAATATTAATTTTCCATATCTGGCAATATACCTGTATACCTACATATATTCCATACCTGTAACAGCAGCAACGCGTTTATACAGCTTTTCGAATGGTATAATTATAACTTGTAAACGTTTCTCTTCTTTTATAAAAAAAAAAATATAACTTTTAGGATAATCTGCCGCGCATCACTTTTAAGAGCTTTAGCTGAGCTTTTTAACAAAACACTCACCTAACAGCTCAGAATAAATAATAGTAGACAGCGAAATGTCATTTTCAAAATGGCGGCATTATACTCTATTCCAATTACGAAGTCCCATTTGACAGATGTCAATAATCAAGTACTAGTAAAGTACCGCTATAGTCGATACTTGACGATATTGATCTTAGATTACTATAACGAACAAATTAAAATTGTATTGACAGAAAAAGGATTAGCATCAAATTAAAATTTATAAAACTGTTTTTTAATTTTAATTAGATAATATTACATGATATTTTTATCAAGATGGAACATATTCATCATCACTAGCCGAAATCGATATTTCATGGCCGGCCGGTCTCTGTCCCAATCAGCGAAAATCAAATTGAGAAGAGACAAACTAAATGGCGGTCGTGATCACGAGGTGGACGCAGTGTTGACAGATTTTCACTCGCGAAAATAATTTGTCTATAATCGATTTTATACGATTCTTTTAGTCACGTCACTATGTAAAAAAGTAAAAATAAAACTATGTTCTAAGAAGTGTCAAAAGGGACTTCGTAATTGGAATATAGTTCAAATTTTGTCCTCCTGAACAGATAAGTTGGTGGCACTGTATTGGTTGTCTGGACAACAAGTCGGAGAAAAAGTTTCTCCGTATTTTGTTTGTATAAAGGCGGCTCTTCTAGTTGCCCAACATAGTGGCAAATGTGTCGGTCAATAACGATGGCAATGGTGTAGAGCGGGTGTTTGGGCATCACTTGGAATGTATTGGAATGATGGCCCACAAGTTGGCGCGAGATCCGTGTGGTGTCGGTTTTCTATAAAAGATCAAAGGGTTATGGTAGATTATTGGCAGCCGCGTCCACACGTTGGGCGTACGTTTTGTTTGCTACGAGCTCGCAGAGTAATCGCACGCACCTAATATAAATTTTATATTCACACATCGTAACTAGTGTCTACAAAATCGCAGTAACAATGACCAATGAGAAAACTTTTCGCTTTATAGAGCTCTACCAAGTCAAAAATTATTTATAGAACACAAGAAATAAAATTTCTTTTTTGTATTTCTTTTTTATCACCCTTTTCTTATACACATTCAGGTATTAACGGTATGCTGTAAATAAATAAACCGGCCGCACACTGGCCTGAATCGAAGCAAACTAAACGACCTTCCAACATATGGACGCCATCACAAACTTTTGCCTAATATCTCTGCCAACACATTAGCCACTAAGTTAGCCAACGTGAAGAGCCGCCTTAGAGTTTGTAATGGCGTCCACACATTGGAAGGTCGTTCAGTTTGCTTCGATAATCGGAGATACCCGCCTCGCGGGGGCAAGGACGGGTTATGTCGGACTCACATCGACTAAAACCCCATGGTGTTCCACCTTCGTCGCATATTGGCAGGACCACGGGAACGCTTTCGCACACGTCCGCGGCCCCACCAGCGCTGGCCGCCCTATAGCGGCCTCTCCTCGGGATAGGACTACTCCTTCCTATCTACATCTCACGTAAGGCGCACCAGAACACATGGCGCGCCCTCCTCCTCTTCAAATGCGCAACTGACGCCCCCGTGTCCGATGCTTTAAGGACATGGGGCCAGGAAAAACTAGCACTCAGAAGCACCAGCCTTCCTGACGCCAGCGGCGGATCTGGTCTATGGCTCCGCCGCCTACCAAGATTCGGCTGCGGAGGGTAGGGAGAGCGGCGCCTCGCAATACCAACACTCCTCTCCCCCCGCAGCCCCACCACCACATCAATTAACGGTGCGGCCCCGTCAGATTCGCGGAGGATAGGGCGAGTGGCGCATCACCATACCAACACTTCTATTCCTCCACGACTCCACCTCGACTGCAGCGGTAGGGGGAGAGGACACCCCTCTCGCAGCAGCCCACCGAAACACATCCGAAGTGGGCTCACCAAGCCCACTCGGAGTGGCCACCTCGGGCCGGCCCTACACCACGGGCAAGCCAAGGGGGTTCCTCTTTGTTCACCACGAGTGACCAAGCCATGGCTACTAAGCCCCCCGCCACGACAAGGCGGGAACCCGTTCGGGGGGGAGACGTTTATGGACCTAATGCACTGTCAGTAAAAGTAGCACAAAGTTGGTTCAAGCGTTTTCAATCCGCGAATTTTAATGTCAAAGATGCAGCTCGCTGTGGTCGCCCTTATACGGATAAAGTCGATGCTATTTTTTGAAAAAGTGGAGCAAGATTAATAGTTACGAACGAATAGCCGAAGAATTGAGGATTGACCACAAACAGTTTTGACCCGTTTGAAATATTCTGCCTATACAAAAAAGCTCGATATTTGGGTACCACACGAGCTCACTGAAAGAAATCTATTGTATTGTGCACTCATTTGCGATTCTCTATTGAAAAGTAAATAAGTGGATCACCTACGACAAGAACGTGCGAAAAAGATCAAGGTCCAATTTTTGTGTGTGTGTGTGTCTACATGCAGCACGCACCGGTATGCGCAGTGCGGGCAGGGGTGCGTGTGTGCGTGCGCGCCCAGGTGCCGGTAGCGCACGTGCAGCGCGAGCGCGGCGAGGGAGGGCGCCGACATGTCGCACAGGCTGCACGCGTACATCGACACGTGCTGCCGCGAGTGCTCCCGCTCCAGGTACGCGGTCGCGAAGCCCGCGCCGCAGAAATCACAGTGGTAGCTCGTCTGCGGGTTCACATTCTACAAGACAGAAGACATATACAAGCGTTGTTACGTGTAGCTATTTTTATTATTATTATTAAACATGAATGTTAATGTAGAAATTATTTACATTTTGAACTTAATTTAATAATTAAGTTCAAAATGTAAATAATGATACACAATTTTTAAAAATACGCGTAAATAAGGTTTCTAGTTTATACATTTATTTGAAAATATCCGAAATTGAATGTGTTTTATGGGCAACAAATACAGCGAAAGTACTCGCGTTCCTTCCTGTATGTAAGAGTCAATGCACGTAGCTTTTTTACCTATAATTTACTTCTTTAATGATACGCTCGCTACTAAGTCGTGGACTCGTGGACGGGCTTAGGACCGACATTAGTAAAAGATGTTATTTATATGAAAGTATAGACGGTACTTAATATACAGCTTCACTTTTTCAAAGATTTTCACCTATACTAAATGTGTTCATTAGAAATGAAACTACAAATGTATGGTGGAAGTCAGTTCATGTACGAGTATTAGCTAAAAAATTCAAAAATCTTAAACCTAATTTAGGCACTAAGAGTGGGTGAAATGCCTAAACTCTTGGATATTTAAGTAAGAACATCACAATAGCTGTTAATTTAATCCCCTAAGAAAAAATATAGGATGACAGACGATGATTCAATAAATGTTTTCAATTTAATGAAATTATATTCTGGCAACCCCTTATTACTAACTAACCCCACTAACCAACCCCACTTACCAGAATGATGTCATTATACAACCGTATACCAGATTCCATAGAAATAGATATAATGTATACACCGTTGTCTAGATTTAAGTATATGATCCATAAACATTCCAGAAATGTGTAATAAAATTAGTAGATTTAATTTAATATCAATATTATATATAGAATGTAAGCATGAAATCCACAAACTGTAGCTATATTAAATCTGGTTTTCCATGTATATTTATTATCATATAACTATCAGTTTTCTATTTTTTTTTAAATCACTTCGCTATTTATGTAAGTTGTGGTTACCTGTAAGAAGATGAACACAGCATGTAGTCGCATTGTTAAGTTATATTTTTGTTAGTATTGTGTATCGTCTGTTGGTGATCCAAATAAAGAGAGAGTAAGAGAGAGAAAGAGAGAGAACCCCTTATTACAAAAAAAAGCCCTATGAGTATTTAATTTTGTCAAATTTTGCAATATTTGTCCAAAACGGCACAAACTTTTTAAATCGTTTTTACCCTAAAAATGAAGGTCTTAAAAATATTAATGTTTTTAATTGAGTTTTATTGTTATTCCACGTTTTATTCGTTAAAATATAATTTTCCCCGAACTTGAATATATGCGCAAGCATGCCTGCTCCGTCATCCTGTAATCCCCGGCGAGCTCCAGGGTTGCCAGAGAGAGAGAGAGAGAGAGAGATGCTACAGTAAATTAAATAAAAAATAATTTTTAATTTTACAATTTATGATAAAAGAGGCAAATACCATAGATGAAGAAGAAGAAGAAGAAGAAAACGTAGGGGAACAATAAATAAAATTCACATCTTTACATTTTTAATTAATAAAAACTTTATATATTTTGTTATTTATGTGTATACAAAAATTATAATAACACTAGTTGACCAGGAAGACGTTTTTTTTTTATTTTTTTTTATAGGATAGGGTGACAAGCGAGCACACAGTCCACCTGATGGTAAGTGGCCACTGCGACCCATAGACGTCTACATCTATCCCCAATAAAGACTCAAGATGCAGATGCGTTGTCACCCGTGAGGACTAAGATGGAATGCCTCTTTGCCAGTAAAAAGGGTCTCCGGTTCCCTACACTCACCATACGAAACACAGCAGCGTTAAGCTACTATTTTACGCTGGTTTTCTGTGAGAGCGTGGTCCTTCTCCGGTCGAGCCGACCCATTCGTGCTACAACTATACCACTAATATAGCTGCTGCAAAAACGTTGTTCTGCCCTTTGCAACGACCATTTGCTTTTCTAAAAAAACTCCTGACATTAGCAATAAAAATAATTGAGGGTCACTTATCGGGATAAAAACTATCCTATCTCTCAAGTTGGACCAAACTGTACACAGTGTGCAAAATTTCATTGAAATCAGTTCAGTAGTTTAAGAGTTCATCGCGGACAAACAATTAGACACGTAATTTTTATAAATAAAGACTAGCTGGCCAGGCAGACGTTGTTCTGCCCTCTCCGACGATCCTGTGTCCTATAAAAATTCTTAAATTCTAATAAAAAATATTGAGGGTCACTTATAGGGATAAAAACTATCCTATCTCTTAAGTTGGACCAAACTGCACACAGTGTGCAAAATTTCATTGAAACCAGTTCAGTAGTTTAAGAGTTCATAGCGGACAAACAATGTGACAATTATTATATATAAAGATTATATTTTATCGAACTTTATTTATTGTAATATATTTATCGTTAGTATTTTCTAATAAGCTACAAAAAAAACTATGTTGGAGCGACTTACTTCAAATACATTTATTTTTTCAAGAGTTTAAACTTATTTGTAAATATTTTATGAACAGAAATACGTAATTTAGTTAATATCTGTACATAACTATGAATATTGTTTTCTAAATAAATTACTTTTTTAAGTGTCCAAAGAAGAAGAAATTTTCGTTTTATTACGAGGGCGGCACTGAAAATTTCGGGAATCAAGGAAGTGCCACAACATTACGATTTAAAAATGTCTTTATTGCTTTTCGAAGTATTCTCCGCGAAATTTGACACATTTTTCCATACGAAGGAACCAATCATTGAAGCAACCATTCCATTCGGAAGTTGGGGTCTCCAAAATGGCCGTTTTGTAGGCGTCCACAGCTTCTTCAGGTGATGAAAATCTCTGTCCACGCAATTTATTCTTTATTTTAGGGAAAGTATAGAAATCATTAGGGCTTAAGTCGGGGCTGTACGGCGGATGGTCTAATAATTCTATGTTTTCTTGCTCTAAAAACTCTTTTGTTCTCCGTGAACGAACAATTTTTGTTGGCTTTAACTCATTTTCGAACACCCAAACTCGTGACTGGTTTTTTGTTTCGGGTTCGTACGCGTATATCCAAGATTCGTTACCTGATACGATGTTGTATACAGCATTTAAGGATCCTGCGTGGAATCTTTCGAGAGTTCTGACGCACCAAGTAACGCGAGCCGCTGTTTGCTCTTCACAGAGCGAATGCGGTATCCATCGGGAAAACAACTTTTTTACACCTAATCGTTCATGCAAGATTATTTGTATTTGACTCATGCCAATGTCTAAAGTTGCCTGAATTTCGCGGTATGTCACATGTCGATCTTCCTCAATCAGCTTACGCACAGCATCAACGTTTTCTTGGGTGACTGCAGTTTTTGGACGACCTTGACGGGGATCATCACTAAGCTTGACACGTCCACGTTGAAATCCAGCAAACCAGCGATAAATTGTGGTTTTGGATGGGGCTTCATCACCAAATGCAGAAATCATCCGGTCAACACACTGTTTTTGTGTTAAACCACTTCAAAAGTCATAATAAATCATCGCTCTTGAATTTTCTCGAGTCAATTCCATTTTCTCAACGACTAAACAAGTTTGACAAAACCTTGTGACAAGACCGAGAATCTTTTTTTAAATAAATAAATGATATTCAATTTTAAAAAACCAAGGACTTTTCAATTAAAATGATTTTAATATGACAGGAACAGTGGAAATATTCCATTCCCGATACTTTTAGTGCAGCCTATGTAGTGAATTTGAAAAATGCGTTTTAATATCATTTGTATGTCGAACGACCAACATGCTCTCGTTGCTTAGATTTTGATAGTTTTTAATATCTATATAATTTCATTGCATATTTTTATTAAGTAGGTGACACTGAATTTTATAATTATGTATGGATTACAATTAAACGTTGTTTTTATGAATACGACTTTAATAGAAAATTATTGGAGAGGGATAACTACATACAGATATTATTTATTATTATAAGTGACCGACCAAAGATTCGGTTTCGGTTTCGGTTTCGGCAAAGTTTCGACAAAAAATCTAGTTTCGGTAATAGTTTCGGTTTCGGCAAAAAACCTGCCGAACCTTCGGCGGCGCCGAAACTCAAGTGTTCGTGAATTATCGTGCGTCTTCGGATGAGTTCGTGATTCATATATTATTCATAATTATACAGAAACAGAAACAGTAACAAAATCTTTTTTATTCAATATAGATTGTAAATAATACTTATTGAAAGTCACTCTTTTGTTAAATTACCACTGATTTGAAAAAAAACAAGGACAGATCCTTGGAAGAACCAGCAAGAAACCCAGCGGGACTTTTTTTTTTAAATAACAGCTTACAATCAGAGGCGTAGCCTGGACTTAATATAATCGTGCGCAAAGTTGGATCAGCGAGGCCCCTTTTCTTTCGTTCCATGGGTCTACCGAATCTATCCTACCTAACATGCATTGACACGACATACGAGGGCGACACTGAAAGGTTTTAGAACTGGCCACTTGTAAACGATATAATTAAAAAATAAGTTCAAATTTTGAAAATGGAACTCTCTGCCAATATTATTGTGTATGTATTTTATTAATTTGTCATTTGTTAACGATTTGGCGGCAAATTGAAAATTGTCTGTGTCACATCAGCATGAATTTAACGCGAGAAAATTTTCGTACACTGATTTTTTATGAATTTCGATTATATTTAAGTCAACAAGAAAGATATGATAGACTTCGGTTGGCCTTTCACGATGCAGTCCCATCTCGTGCCACTGTATATAACTGGTTTAATGAGTTTAAACGTGATCGCACTAATTTCACCAATGATTTGCGTGAGGGACGGCCATTGATTTAGTCTTGTATAACTCAATGGGGACGGCCTTCTACGGCGACGACTGAAGATAACATCAGTGTTGTGCGGCGTGTGATAGAGACTGATAAAAAAGTGACTTTTCAGCAGATTCGGACAAGATAAGGCATCGGTATGAGTCAAGTGCACAAAATCCTCCTGAATATTTAGCAGTCA